CTCACATAAAAAAGACTTGTAGCAAGATATTAAAAAAAAAAATAAACAAACAACCAATATGTAGGTATCTATAGACGTATGTATACGAGGGCTTTTGCGAAAGGACTTAGAATTTTTAGCTTCAATGCTTTTTTATATTTATACACTTATATTAGTCTGGACTATAGTGTAGACAATAGTCTTGACTATAGTGTAGTCTATAGTCTGGACTATAGTGTAGTCTATAGTCTGGACTATAGTGTAGTCTATAGTCTGGACTATAGTGTAGTCTATAGTCTGGACTATAGTGTAGTCTATAGTCTGGACTATAGTGTAGTCTATAGTCTGGACTATAGTGTAGTCTATAGTCTGGACTATAGTGTAGTCAGTCTGGACTATAGTGTAGTCTATAGTCTGGACTATAGTGTAGTCTATAGTCTGGACTATAGTGTAGTCTATAGTCTGGACTATAGTGTAGTCTATAGTCTGGACTATAGTGTAGTCTATAGTCTGGACTATAGTAGTGTAGTCTATAGTCTGGACTATAGTGTAGTCTATAGTCTGGACTATAGTGTAGTCTATATTCTGGACTATAGTGTAGTTTATACTCTGGACTATAGTCTAGTCTATACTCTGGACTATAGTCTAGTCTATACTCTGGACTATAGTCTAGTCTATAGTGTGGTCCATAGTCTAGTCTGGACTATAGTCTAGTCTATAGTCTGGATTATAGTCTATAGTCTGGACTATAGTCCAGTCTATAGTTTGTATTATAATCTAGTCTATTGTCTGGATTATAGTCTAGTCTATTGTCTGGACTATAGCCTAGTCTATTGTCCGGACTATAGCCTAGTCTATTGTCTGGGCTATAGCCTAGTCTATTGTCTGGACTATAGTCTAGTCTATAGTCTGTTGGGATAGTACATATTTAGTATATTCTGGACTATAGTTTAGTCTTTAACATGGACTATAGTCTAGTCTAACCTACATTCTGGATTACAGTCTTGTCGATAATTAGGTCTCTAATATAAACAAAATTCTGCACAAAATTCTGGACTATAGTCTATACCTTTTTCTGAATTATATTCTGAACTATAGGCTAACCTTAGGTCTGGGCCATAGTCTATTTAGTCTATAATTTCGACTATAATCTAGTCTGTAGTCCGGACTATTGCTTAGTCTATTGTATGGGTTATAGTCTAATATACAGCCTAGGCTATTGCCTAGTCTATAGTCTGGTTTATAGTCTGGACTATAGTCTAGTCTATATTTGGATTAAGGTATAATCCATAATTTTGATTATAATCTATAGTCTGGATTTAAGTCTATATTATGGACTGTTGTCTAATCTATAGTCTGGACTATAGTGTAGTCTATAGCCTAGACCGTAGTCTATTCTCATCTATAGTCCGGATTATAGTATTTTTAAAATGCAACTCTACAAAAACTTTCAAGTATGACCCCCTTATTGAGTCTACTTATACCCATAAATGTTTCTGTATATATTAACAAGGAATAAAAAATAATATTATATGATGTGGAGATATAGAGAGTGTTTGTTGGTATGTCACTGTATAAAATATAAATGATGGGGACACACATCATACAACATTGAACGAACAATAGTCTCTGTGGTGATGACGACGACTACGCTGTTGATGAAGATGATGATGATGATAAGAAGAACGAAACGAAGGACAGACATGAGACGTGTTCAAAGAGACGGACAATAACTTCTTCTTTATGCAAAGAAATAATTTAAAATTCAGGAGATGGATGCTGCTGCTGTTGCTTAATTCTACACCAAAGTCTCTAAACAGTAATGACTCGATTTACGTGTGAAAATCTAATATGATGCTACTCATAAGAAAAACTATGTCATGAGGAGATGTTAGATATAGATCGCTTAACATTAATTACATATTACATATTTTTTTACTATTTTGGTTACATGAATAAAAAAATAAGTAAATCGAGGTATTACTGTATTCACTACCATGTTTCTTTAGTCTGCCTGCTACTACTACTACTCTTACACCACGAATATTCCTCAACGATGATGTTGATGCTGCTGCTATATCTTCTTCTTCTCCTCCTTTTTACCAACTGTCTTTGTGTGATAATGATGTACGAGGTGTTGCGTGTGCTTTTTTTGTATATTTTTGTTTTATTCCTTATTTTCTTGTTTCGTTTTTTTTTTCTTTTTTCTATAAATTTTGAAGCTACAGGAAGAGCTTAAGGCGGTATGTATAATGTACTCTCGTACTTGTTTATTTTGTTGTTTTTTGCTAAAAGAGAATAGTTTAGCTCCCACTTTTGTGATATTTTGCACATGCACACACATTTTTGGATAAACATACCGCTCTCAGTTTGCCGAAAAATGTTGAGAGAGTGATGTGACATAAAGCAAACTATTGAAAATTAAATAATGACAATTTAGCGTTTTTATGGTTTAATGTATTCAAAATTAATTATCGATTCAAAGAAATTCTAATATTTGAAGATAATTTACTGAGCAGAAATCTTTTAAAACTTTTCATTATCATATAGTCTCATTATCTAAATTCTATATGATTTGGGTCTTCAGTATGAAAGTCATATATTTGGGTTAATGATTGTAGATTGAGATTCTCATATTGAACAAAAACAGAGGGCCAATCAGAAACAATACCAAAAGAATGCTAATCAAGTATGGTTCACAGTTGGGTTCATGAGTCGCTTGAGTCCAAATTTAAGCTATGACATATCGGTGCAACTAAACTCTCCTTCAAAAAATGACTTAATCGTCGGTAATTCACTTATAAACAATAGTAATGTGATGAAATTCGTCATAAATTACTATTATATAAACTAAATAAACATTACTAAAGGATCGGCCCATATTTGACACTGAAAAAAGCTAATAACCCATATATTTAGGTTCCTGTTTGTGGATGTTTTTGTTTTTGTAACAGTTCGACTGTGGCCGATAGTTCTTTCATGGGAAAAAACTTTACAGCTGTCGCTGGGTTGACAATCTTTGGCCGAGTATGACTCGGGTCGTTCCGAAGCGAAGATCCTATTGTCGTGGGAGCGCTAATTGTGGATTGTCATTTCTGGTATTCTGTAAAACCTTGAGTTTCTACCGACTGGGACCAGAAGACCCAATAACCAATGGCAATTATATATATTATATAAACTAAATAAACAATACTGAAGGATCGGCCCATATTTGACCCTGAAAAAAGCTAATAACCCATATATTTAGGTTCCTGATTGTGGATGTTGTTGTTTTTATAACAGTTCGACTGTGGCCGATAGTTCTTTCATGGGGAAAAAACTTTACAGCTGTCGCTGGGTTGAAAATCTTTGGCCGAATATGACTCGGGTCGTTCCGAAGCGAAGATCCAATTGTCGTGGGAGCGCTAATTGTGGATTGTCAGTTCTGGTATTCTGTAAAACCTTGAGTTTCTACCGACTGGGACCAGAAGACTCAATAACCAATGGAAAGGTAATGCTGATCATGTAGGGCTCACAGGTGAGGGTTCCGATTTCCAGTAAGCCAAATTTACAGCCTAGTCTATAGTCAAGGCTAGTCTATAGTCAAGGCTAGTCTATAGTCAAGCTATCTATAGTCTAGTCTATAGTCTAGTCTATAGTCTAGTCTATAGTCTAGTCTATAGTCTAGTCTATAGTCTAGTCTATAGTCTAGTCTATAGTCTAGTCTATAGTCTAGTCTATAGTCTAGTCTATAGTCTAGTCTATAGTCTAGTCTATAGTCTAGTCTATAGTCTAGTCTATAGTCTAGTCTATAGTCTAGTCTATAGTCTAGTCTATAGTCTAGTCTATAGTCTAGTCTATAGTCTAGTCTATAGTCTAGTCTATAGTCTAGTCTATAGTCTAGTCTATTAGTCTAGTCTATAGTCTAGTCTATAGTCTAGTCTATAGTCTAGTCTATAGTCTAGTCTATAGTCTAGTCTATAGTCTAGTCTATAGTCTAGTCTATCTATAGTCTAGTCTATAGTCTAGTCTATAGTCTAGTCTATAGTCTAGTCTATAGTCTAGTCTATAGTCTAGTCTATAGTCTAGTCTATAGTCTAGTCATAGTCTAGTCTATAGTCTAGTCTATAGTCGAGTCTATAGTCTAGTCTATAGTCTAGTCTATAGTCTAGTCTATAGTCTAGTCTATAGTAGTAGTCTATAGTCTAGTCTATAGTCTAGTCTAGTCTATAGTCTAGTCTAGTCTATAGTCTAGTCTAGTCTAGTCTATAGTCTAGTCTATAGTCTAGTCTATAGTCCAGTCTATAGTATAGTCTATAGTCTAGTCTATAGTCCAGTCTATAGTCTAGTCTATAGTCCAGTCTATAGTATAGTCTATAGTATAGTCTATAGTCCAGTCTATAGTATAGTCTATAGTCGAACTATTGTATTATCCCTGCAGCTTTTCAAACTTAAAAATCGCGCTACAAATTTTGGCAAGCAAAAAATAGACATCACTGAAACAAACCCTCAACGAAAATAATCGAACAAAATGATTTTCGTGGGCAACAATTTTGATTTTGATTCTTTTTCTTCGACTTTATTCCTTTTTAAACCAACATTCTCCTGACAATCACTCTCTAGCTCTCTGAGATTTCTGAAGTAAAAGAGTGTGCTTTTAAAATACCGGGAGAGTATAGAGGAATTGTGACAATAACAACAACAAAAAATAAGGTACATTATTTTAATTTTTTTTGTACATATTTACTGTCTACTACTTCTTCCAATACATGTTGTTGGTATCGGTCTGGTCGTCTGGTTCGGTTATGTGCCGCTCGTTAATGTGGCGGTTTTGCAGTTTAATTTCAGCTTTTCAGTTGCTTACGTTGCAAAAGGAATGTTAAAGTTTAAATTTTTTTTTAATTGTGAAACCAACAAAAACTTAATTTAGCTTTTATAATTAAAAGTTACAAAAAAATAGCAAAAATAAGATATTAAAACCCGTTAATTTAAATTAAATTTTTTATTTAAAATAAAACAATAATTTTGTACTAAAATTTATTTTTCTTTGAAACAATAACGAAAAACTTAAAACTTTGTGTTATAGATAGCATCGTCTGGAGTTTCGATTTTTTTCGGCTGTTCAGTTTAATTTGTTGTTTTTGATTAATTGAAATTTCTTGTCTCAGACAAAAAAACTCCCATTAATTTCTGTTCTTAATTTTTTTATAAACTAAAGTGATAATGTTTAAAACTTTGCCTGGCATCTTTATGCAAATTGTATTAAATTTATGGTTTAAATTATTAAAACGTGGAGTAAAATATAAACGCTAATAAATGGAAGAGTGATCATTCTATTTGAACATTACACATATAACGGAATTTTTATAAAATGGATCCTCCTGTTAAAAAAAATGTAAGCAATTTTGTTTTTGTGTATATAATTATAAGAAATAATAAATAAATTTAGGTAATATTTTGTATAAAAGAAAATGTATTCATTATTTGTTCTATTCTAGAAAATGGTCTGACCATTTTTGTTTTTTAAGTTGAAACGAAATTTTTTTCTCCATAACCTAAAATTTCCAGTTCAACTGTATGAATAGAATATTTAACCGGCTTTAAGAAAAAACTGCTGTAAAAAAACTAATTTTCCATAGGGTTTTTCTCTAAATCGTATGTTGTTATTTTTATAAAATTGCTACAAATCATTTCATAAATATAACAATGTATCATTCGTTTGGTATACGATTTGGTTTATGTTGTTAGGTCCCTTTAATTTTTTATGAGATAATAATTGGTATATGCTGAAATACGCCAGCATCTCTAGTCCACTTTCATTTAAACACTAAAAATAAAAGCGTACATTTTCAACAAAAAATGTCTGATCACCAGAGAATATTTTGGAAATTTTTCAGCCATGTAAACCCACTGCTCGGGATCTATAATACAATTGCATACATCGCTAACTTATTAACATTTATGATCAATATACTCTGGCAACACTAGCAATTTATCTATAATTTGTCTTTACTACATTCTTATCTTTTAATTCTACCTATTTATTTATGTTGAATGTAAGTAACGACAAACATCCCGTTTGTTTTTCCTTTTCCCTAGTGCAGTTCTTGTTACAGTTCTAGTTCAGTTCTAGTTAAGTTCTAGTTCAGCTCTAGTTCAGCTCTAGTTTAGTTCTAGTTCAGTTCTAGTTCAGTTCTAGTTCAGTTCTAGTTCAGTTCTAGTTCAGTTCTAGTTCAGTTCTAGTTCAGTTCTAGTTCAGTTTCTAGTTCAGTTCTAGTTCAGTTCTAGTTCAGTTCTAGTTCAGTTCTAGTCAGTTCTAGTTCAGTTCTAGTTCAGTTCTAGTTCAGTTCTAGTTCAGTTCTAGTTCAGTTCTAGTTCAGTTCTAGTTCAGTTCTAGTTCAGTTCTAGTTCAGTTCTAGTTCAGTTCTAGTTCAGTTCTAGTTCAGTTCTAGTTCAGTTCTAGTTCAGTTCTAGTTCAGTTCTAGTTCAGTTCTAGTTCAGTTCTAGTTCAGTTCTAGTTCAGTTCTAGTTCAGTTCTAGTTCAGTTCTAGTTCAGTTCTAGTTCGTTCTAGTTCAGTTCTAGTTCAGTTCTAGTTCAGTTCTAGTTCAGTTCTAGTTCAGTTCTAGTTCAGTTCTAGTTCAGTTCTAGTTCAGTTCTAGTTCAGTTCTAGTTCAGTTCTAGTTCAGTTCTAGTTCAGTTCAGTTCTAGTTCAGTTCTAGTTCAGTTCTAGTTCAGTTCTAGTTCAGTTCTAGTGCAGTTCTAGTTCAGTTCTAGTTCAGTTCTAGTTCAGTTCTAGTTCAGTTCTAGTTCAGTTCTAGTTCAGTTCTAGTTCAGTTCTAGTTCAGTTCTAGTTCAGTTCTAGTTCAGTTCTAGTTCAGTTCTAGTTCAGTTCTAGTTCAGTTCTAGTTCAGTTCTAGTTCAGTCTAGTTCAGTTCTAGTTCAGTTCTAGTTCAGTTCTAGTTCAGTTCTAGTTCAGTTCTAGTTCAGTTTCTAGTTCAGTTCTAGTTCAGTTCTAGTTCAGTTCTAGTTCAGTTCTAGTTCAGTTCTAGTTCAGTTCTAGTTCAGTTCTAGTCAGTTCTAGTTCAGTTCTAGTTCAGTTCTAGTTCAGTTCTAGTTCAGTTCTAGTTCAGTTCTAGTTCAGTTCTAGTTCAGTTCTAGTTCAGTTCTAGTTCAGTTCTAGTTCAGTTCTAGTTCAGTTCTAGTTCAGTTCTAGTTCAGTTCTAGTTCAGTTCTAGTTCAGTTCTAGTTCCAGTTCTAGTTCAGTTCTAGTTCAGTTCTAGTTCAGTTCTAGTCAGTTCTAGTTCAGTTCTAGTTCGTTCTAGTTCAGTTCTAGTTCAGTTCTAGTTCAGTTCTAGTTCAGTTCTAGTTCAGTTCTAGTTCAGTTCTAGTTCAGTTTCTAGTTTCAGAGTTCTATTCAGTTCTAGTTCAGTTCTAGTTCAGTTCTAGTTCAGTTCTGTTCAGTTCTAGTTCAGTTCTAGTTCAGTTCTAGTTCAGTTCTAGTTCAGTTCTAGTTCAGTTCTAGTTCAGTTCTAGTTCAGTTCTAGTTCAGTTCTAGTTCAGTTCTAGTGCAGTTCTAGTTCAGTTCTAGGTCCATTCTAGTTCAGTCTAGTTCAGTTTCTAGTTCCAGTCTATTCAGTTCTAGTTCAGTTCTAGTTCATTTCTAGTTCAGTTCTAGTTTAGTTCTAGTTCAGTTCTAGTTCAGTTCTAGTTCAGTTCTAGTTCAGTTCTAGTTCAGTTCTAGTTCAGTTTCTAGTTCAGTTCTAGTTCAGTTCTAGTTCAGTTCTAGTTCAGTTCTAGTTCAGTTCTAGTTCAGTTCTAGTTCATTTCTAGTTCAGTTCTAGTTCAGTTCTAGTTCAGTTCTAGTTCAGTTCTAGTTCAGTTCTAGTTCTGTTCTAGTTCAGTTCTAGTTCAGTTCTAGTTCAGTTCTAGTTCAGTTCTAGTTCAGTTCTTGTTCATTTGTAATTCAGTTCTTGTTCATTTGTAATTCAGTTCTTGTTCATTTGTAATTCAGTTCTTGTTCAGTTCTAGTTCAGTACTAGTTCAGTTCTAGTTGGGTACAAGGTCTGTTCTAGGTCAGTTCTAGTTCAGTTCTAGTTCAGTTTTAGTTCAGCTCTAGTTCAGTTCTATTTCAGTTCTAGTTCAGTTCTAGTTCAGCTCTAGTTCAGCTCTAGTTTAGTTCTACTTCAGTTCTAGTTCTGTTCTAGTTCAGTTCTAGTTCAGTTCTATTTCAGTTCTAGTCAGTCTAGTCAGCTCTAGTTCTAGTTCAGTTCTAGTTCATTTCTAGTTCAGTTCTAGTTCAGTTCTAGTTCAGTTCTAGTTCAGTTCTAGTTCAGTTCTAGTTCAGTTCTAGTTCAGTTCTAGTTCAGTTCTAGTTCAGTTCTAGTTCAGTTCTAGTTCAGTTCTTCTAGTTCAGTTCTAGTTCAGTTCTAGTTCTAGTTCTGTTCTAGTTCAGTTCTATTCAGTTCTAGTTCAGTTCTAGTTCTAGTTCTAGTTCAGTTCTAGTTCTTGTTCATTTGTAATTCAGTTCTTGTTCATCTGTAATTCAGTTCTTGTTCAGTTCTAGTTCAGTACTAGTTCAGTTCTAGTTCAGTTCTAGTTCAGTTCTAGTTCAGTTCTAGTTCAGTTCTAGTTCAGTTCTAGTTCAGTTCTAGTTCAGTTCTAGTTCAGTTCTAGTTCAGTTCTAGTTCAGTTCTAGTTCAGTTCTAGCTCTGAAGTAAACTCCTATAAAACAATTTTATACATCTAAATGACTTCAATAGAATTCTTTTTTAAATTATTTTTATGGAAGTATTTTTAAGAAGTTTCTAATCATCGAATAAGAACTTAAGTTCTTAATAATTATTTTTTATAACTACTTATCTGCTAACAACCAAATTATTGATAACAAATTATCTTATTACCCTCGTAAAAGAGTAAATTATAATACTTATCCTTTTAATAACATCCTTTATTTGTATTAATTCCCTTAATACGAAATCATTAATAAAAACTTTAAATGAAAATTATAAAAACATGTTTCTTCACTTGAGGTTGTAAGTACACATTTACAGTGTTATTTTAATAAATCCCTCAACAAAAAGTTTTCAAAATTTAATTATGTTCAGAATGTTATTTAAGTTTTCAATTAAATTTTTTTGCGGGGATTTTAAATAAAAGGGTTACGCAGGGCAATAGTATATAAAAATTATATAGTAAATTAATAAAAAAAAGAAAGAAAACTATAAATTAAAATTTACTTTTTTGAGGGGAATACATTTTATGCAAAAGACTAATAACAGCTTTGACGAATTTTATGAACCCTTTTTAGTTTTTTTTTTAATTTTACTTAATATTTAAATACAAAAACCTATAATTGATCATTTCGTGGGCTGTATTTGAACACTTAGTGCTTTTTCTAGACATAATATCTGGGGCTTTCAGAAATCGACATTGCTATAACGACTTCTCTATGTATTGGGCCGTAAAATGACGAAATTGCCAACATCACGATGAAGTTATTCTTACGAATTTAAAGGGTACTAAAACCAAGGAAATAAATTATGGACACACCAAAAAATAAGACAAAAAAAAAGGAATTAAACCAGAATAGCTGGAATTACCACTTGTCGTAATATTTTTGTTGGAGCTGCTACATAAAATGTGGCATGATGGTAGAAAGCATAAACATGTACACACGTAGTATATTATGGGCTCTGGGTGCTGTTGCCGGCCGCCTGACTGTTGCAAAATAAACCAACAAAAAAAAATTAAAAGCCAGCAATGAAGCATGGCCTTATCGTTGCTGTAGTTACTGCAGCACCACTCCATACATATGTATGTATGAATGTATGTATATATGAAACTTTTCTGGGTTTAAACTTTATTACACAATATTTTATTTCATATTTTTTTTTGTAAACTTTTCATGCTGCTCCTTATTGAATATATAGTAGGGGCTTTTCTTATTGCAAAAAAAGCGTTGAAATTAAAATAATCATACTTTGTTTCTTTTTTTTCCAGTATTTTTAAACTTGACAGTAAAATTTTTGTTGCTGCTGCCGTTTGTTTTTAGCTAAAGGATAAAAAAAGTAAAATTGAAATAAAAAAGCTTTAGATACTTTAGTTGTCAAACCCTACGACTAGTTTGCGCAAGAAATTCTATAATGACACATTCATTTGTCGTTGAGCATCCAATGTTCGGTTTAGGTTATGCTGTAAAAACAGCCTATTTTTTATCTTTTAATTTCTCATTTTAACCGGCCTTATTTTAGTCTCTGCTAGACGTTTAACTACTATTTACACTGTTGCCAAAAGTGAATAAATGTTCAATATTCGGTTATGCAGAGTTGGAAAATAAAAAAGTACCAGAAAATCTACTTTTATAGATTTCCATTCAATCAGTAAGCCGAATGTTT